AGTGACTGCAATAATCCACTGTGCTATAAATATCAAGTTTGATTTTCCTCCAGTAGTGAATCAAACTGACTTTTGTGGGTGATTCTGTATAACAGATATGCTTTGTATTAAAGTGTTGCAATCCTGTACAAGCTGCACTAACAATTCCAGATTTTATATGGTAATGCACCCCTGGTAAAAAAAAAAAAAAAAAAAAAAAAAAAATATATATATATATATATATATATATATATATATATATATATATATATATATATATATATATATATATATATATATATATATATATAATTTATTATGTTTCGAATAACCACAGAATCATTTTTGCTTGACTGAGTATGCATTGTACAATTTTATGCTGCACTTGATCCATTTTGTGTTGCTAGTACTTCTTTTATGTTATTACAAAAGTGTATGCTGCTCATAATATGTTGCTTTAATGTAACGTCAGAGATAAATTGCATATTTATGTGGCTCTCCCAGTCGGAAACAAAAGCTTGGGACAAACAACTTTACCTAGGACTTCACTGCAAAATAAAAACATTACCTAATGCTCAGTGGCGCCAGAGGTAATGGAAAAGAGCTTAGCCGTTTTTAGATCAGCCATGACGTGGGTCAACATGGCAGCTATCGTCACACTAAGCATTTTTTCTCGGAGGTTTGCGACTTTATTGCCATTAACATTCTTGTTAAGACGTACAGAGCTGTGGAAAAGTATTTGTTGTTGATAATTTTGTTAAATTACTACCACCAACTTACATGTATTTTATTGGGATTGAATACTTTTTAGATGTAAGTTTCATTGCATTTACTGCTTCTGCTCTTTGGATTTCGTACTGCCTTCATTAAATTTTTTTAAATAATAGTTTTTTGCCCATTCTCTTGAAAACAGTTCAAGTGATTGGACAAATAGCATTGGTGAGGAAGTCTTTTGCAGCCTCTTCCTTCTAGGAGCTCCAAATATCTAACCTTCAACTCAGACCGTCTTGTCTGTCCTTGCTGAAGAAAAGCAACTCCTGGGAGTTGCTTTTATTCTACCGACATTATTCCATTATTCTACCGACAACATACTTCATTGTATGGTTGAAGATGATGTACAGGGTTCTGTTTTGCATAGAGGCCATCCGTTTGATTTTGGTCTGAAGTGATTTAGACCTCCTTCTTCCACATATTGGCTGAGTCCCAGACATGGTTTGTGACAAGCAAATGCTTGTGGAAAACTTGAAACTTTCTTTCAGCAACTGGTCTTGAAAGGTTTGCAGTTGTGCTATCCTTAATTCATTTTCGGATGATAGGTTGAGCAGTACTCCATTAAATGTTCAAAGCTTTAGATTTTGATTTAAACTTTTCCACAACTTTATAATTGACTTGCCTGCTGTGTTGCTTGTTCAATGTTTACTTTTTCATTTGCTCACTAATGTTTTTGAGCAAACCTGTGAAGCACTGGGCGTGCAACTTGATTTAAAGTCGAGATTAAATCACAGACACATGGACTATTTACAAATCAGGTAGCTTCTGAAAGTAATTTACAGGTATTGAAGGAAACTGTGCTAAATAGATGTTTGTTAGATTTCTCAAATATAAAGGATTTTGAAAGATGTGCTTCCACTTTTGCTTCCATTTCACTACTCATGCACTACTCTTTAACATAAACCCTCCAAAAAAGTATTGTAGATTACAGCCATTTGTAGATAGAAGCAACAATCTTTTTGTACTTTCTCTTTTATAGCACGCAATGAGCCTCTCAAGAAAGACCGTCCTAAATGGAAGAGCGAGTACCCAATGACAGAAGGCCAACTGAGGAGTAAAAGAGACGAGTTTTGGGATACAGCTCCCGCCTTTGACGGACGTAAAGAGATCTGGGATGCACTGAGAGCAGCAGCCCTGGCTCTGGAGTGCAATGACATGGAGCTGGCCCAGGCTATAGTGGATGGAGCCTGCATCACTCTGCCACACGGTATAAAATGCTGCCACAATCCGTTTCCTATGTGAAAACATAAAACACATATTTAAGCTTTAGATGTGCTGGAACGCACTGGTTGAATAGCAATTCTCTCAATGCCATAGAGCGGTTTGCAGAATCCAATGACTGATTTGAAAGAGATTACTGTTGTAATTATGTAATAGTGCTGCGTGACCACGAAAGACAGATACACCCAGAGCTCTGGGATAAAGCATAGCATGCTCCCTTAGAGGAGAGTATTTATCTCTAATCTTTGAAGGTTTCTGAGAAGTGGGCACTTATTTGGGTGTCCTTTCCTCTGCAGGATCTCTCACGGAGAGCTATGATGAACTGGGAAACCGCTACCAGCTGCCAGCGTACACTTTAGCGCCACCTATCAACCTGATCACTGAGACGTCTGGAGACAGCAAACTGTCTGAAAGTGCACAAAAACAAGCTCAACCTCCACCATCTCGAGAGGAGTTCCAGCTGCGGGTGCGGTTATCAACAGGTAACACCGCCAAATCTTTAAAAGTGGAGAATCACAGATGAAACCAGATATTTAGTTACAATAGTTTGCAGCCTCTCTCTTGTTTTTATTCATCAAGTCAGATTAAACTTTTACGTTTACGTTAGGATTGTGAAAATTATTTATATTATTTATATGCTAATGCTAGGATAATCAGAGAGAGAAAGACATATTTTTTAAAAATGTTTACATACTCTAAGATTGTCCTTAAACAATTTTGAGAAGTCTACATGCTGATGTCAAAGCACCATACTCTTGGAAAGGAGGCAGGCTTTGAATCCCAGAGACCATGTTTTGGTGCAAAACACCCAAGCTAAACACCTTCTGGCAACAGCTGGTATCCAAAATAGGCTGAAAGGCCACTCAGGAGTGAAGAAGTCATTACTACTAAAGCAACAAAAAAGTTAGTTTGTGAATACACAAAGTGGTGAAAACTTAATATTTGGAGGTATACCAGCTGGAGACAGGCCCACCAGTAGGCCTTGCCTGGACAAGCTGGTATAGATGATGGAATTGAAGTGTTTGTCTGTAACGATCTTTCCTATGAGAAAGAAAAGCAAATAACACAATCCCACTTGTGAAGTATGAGGGTGATAGTATCTTATTGTGTAGGTGTTTTGATGCGGTTGTAAACATCAGATCCATTTTTTTTCTTATTATGAGATAAGGACATCATTTGGAACACTGAAGAAACATCTCAACACATCAGCCACAAAATTGAGGCTTTGGTGCAAATCACTTTTCCAAATGGATGATGACCTTAATCATGCCTTGGTAACACTATGTTTGAAGGGGTGTGCATAAGACTGACATGACATTGTCATAAACATTACATAACATTTGTTACGGAGTCTTCATGAATGTTTATAACTGTTGTCATGAGGTGTCATTTGGTAAATAATGGACACCCAAAACATCTGACCTCAGTCACAGCATAATAAAAATGAAAAATACTGGAAATTATGACAAAATTCTGAATCTGAAATAACTTCACAATGTTCTCTTTCATTATTCTTGTTAGCAAAAAAAAATTCCGGATAGTCATAAATTACCGAAAACAAGACAAAATTTAGAATAAATATAAAATTGACAATAATCTGGCCTGAACTCTGTCTGGAAGCATTTAAATATCTAACACAGCACATTTCTGTTTCAGGGAAGGATGTGCGTCTGACAGCCAGCCTGGCAGACTCCATCGCTGTGCTGAAGAAACAGTTGGAAAAACAGGAAGACATCGAGGTGATCCGCCAGCGGTGGTTCTTCTCTGGGAAGCTTCTGACGGACAAGACTCGCCTCCAAGATGCCAAGATCCAAAAGGACTACGTTGTCCAAGTGATCGTCAACATAAATCCTTCGGTCATACCCAACTGAGGGATGAAGATCAGAAAAGGACGTGCCAGATAAGGAGCAGGTTTCCAGCAGGGAACTTTTATGTACATTTTATATAATAAATTATTGCTTTTATATTGTTCCTTTTTCTATTTTACCCTTTTTTCCAAATAAAGAGATATTACTGAAAAGCACTAAAACACTTTAGGTGATAATAGCGCCCTAAGATGCACCTCCCAGTGTCTGTTTCTGAAGACCTTGACTTACAGCTCTATTGTTTACATGGGTTCCTCTCGTCTTGTTTGTTTGTACTTATGCTTGTTGATTAATTAAATGCAGCTCACCTAAGTTGAACAAATAAGGAAAATCTACTCTCTTTTTTCTCTTAAGACTAATAGATGAGTATTTCTAATTGTAAACATCAGATCCATTTTTTTTGTTCATTCCACTGTGTGAACAACGCATTTTGAGTAGACACTGAATATAATAAAGGGACCTTTTATAAGATAGAAAGAGATGAACAGATTTGTTTTTTAGTTCATCATTTCAAACAACTGTACAAACATGCAATAGCATTCTGTCTAAAATTATGCACACTGTAATGTCATTTAATAAATGTCATAAATTTAAACTCATCTCTTGCTTTTGGAGATTTATTTCATATTTATTGAATGTTTCCATCTTCCCTTTTTGTCAGTCCAAAAATTGGGGAAAATCTTGGGTCAGGCGACAGTTTGTGTCATAGATCACATTGAAAGTGCCATTCTGTGTTGTGCCGAAGAATAAAATGCCCTTAAAATCAATAATTCAAGAAAAACAACAAGCTCAAAAATATCAATAATTCAGCAACATCTTTGTTTCAAACCATTGTTGTTAACATTATGAAGCTGCTGGACTTTGGTCAAACCTAAAACTTGCTGTGAGGGGTTAAAACACGGTGTTTCTGAGTTAAAACCCAGACATTCAGAGAAATTGTGGAATCAATTCCTGGGCTGGAATACCTGCAAAAACCAAGTGGAACTCATTAGTTTGTAAGTTGTCTGCATGATCATGACGGAAATCATAACTACACAAATAGGAGGAAGCGCTGTTCGTCCACTGATGTTCGTAGTGAACAGCGCCATCTACTGGCATACCAGCATAACGTCGGACTAGATAGCAAATCTGTGACGTCATCAAGCGAGCGACGGAGTCGTTTGGAGCTCCGCCGTCAGCAGTGGAGAAACGTGATTGTTGTCGGCCCTGAACATGGTGAAATCAGGGAAACTTCGGTCGGGGACCGGGGTGAAGTTGAAGCGCTGGAAGAAGGGACACAGCAGCGACTCCAACCCGCAGACTAGCCGGTTCCGACAGGCTGCGAAAAGCCGCTTTTTCAGCAGACCCAGCGGTAAGAGACACACGTGGGTTTCGGAGAGCTAACATCAGCCACACGAGCCATTTAACTTGGATAACTTTATCTGTGACGCTGCTCAGCAAACACTCAGTCTCATATTCTCAGAGTAAATTCCCCCGACTTGAAGCTTTATGAAAGTATTTTTTTAATGTTTAGATGAGGATAGAAAATCAGCGGAACAAAAATATTAACAGTTTCACCTTATCCACTTTTCTGAATGATGTAATCAGAGATTGTTTATCCACCCATTTGTTTACCAGTCATTCACCCATTCATCTGATATCTGTTTATCTGTCTTACTATGCAAGTTGTTTTCTTGCATATTTCATACTTTTTTTTGTAATGAACCATTACATGTGTGGGGTGAAAAGAGGAAAACATTAAGCTGTAAAAATGTTAAACTTTCATGTAAACTACGGATGTAATTGTCTAAATAAGCCTGTAAACACAATAATAAATTAATTGATATCACATAGTGTGTCAGGCCCTCTTAGCTCTTTTTGTGAATAAATGTTGAACTTTAGTTTGGGAGTGACAGTAATAAATTGATGTCTTTCTTTTTTGGTTTTACTTCCACAGCGAAGAGCGACCTGACTGTTGATGCTCTCAAGCTTCACAATGAGCTGCAGGCTGGGCCCCTGGAGCTTAAGGCAGGGGCCCGTAAGGATACTCAAATGGAAGAGGAGCCTGATGAGAGGCTGTCGGAGAGAACATCGGGCACCTTCCTGAGTGGCCTGTCCGATTGTTCCAACCTCACATTCAGAAAGGTGCAGCGCTTCTGGGAGTCCAACTCCGCTGCTCATAAAGAGGTAGGACTATGGGGGTATTGCCTCCAATTTCTAAATGTAGCATATGCAATATTTTGTAGCATATCTGCACCTGGTGTAACTGTGTCTCTTGATGTTTGCCAGATTTGTGCAGTTTTAGCTGCTGTTACTGAAGTGATCCGAAGCCAAGGCGGGAAGGAAACAGAGACGGAGTACTTTGCTGCTTTAGTGAGTATTTCATTGGTTTATATTTTGTTTAAAGTTTTGGGTAAAGCAAAAATAAAAATGGTTATCCCCTTAGATTGACTAGCTTTATTTCTAATTAGACTGTTATTGATTTTTGGTAGATGACGACCTTGGAAGTTGTGGAATCAGAAGAATCTCAGGCTGCAGTGGCTTATCTTCTCAACCTTGTCATAAAACGGTAGAAATTAGAAAACTTTTGTCTTTTCCATAACTGAACATGTCATACCTGATTAATACTGACTGCTCAGTGTTTGGGTGTCACCAGTGTTCCAGCTCCAGTACTTAAGTCCAAGTTCTCAGACACCACCAAGGCTCTCATGGATGTAATGTCTAAACAGGTTTCATCTGATGCATCTTCAGCTCTCAGATGGGTGAGAGGATTTTCCGGTTTGCCTTTGTCATGTTCTGTTTTCACTCTGTTTTTAAATCTATATTGTTTTTTTGTGTTTGCATCTATAGATCTTGTCCTGCTTGGCCACTTTGTTGAGGAAGCAGGATGTTTCCGTCTGGAGCTACCCATCTACACTGCAGGCTTATCATGGTCTGCTCAGCTTCTCGGTGCACAGCAAGCCAAAGGTCACTCCTACTAAGCTTAAATAAACTGATACGTTATTTACTTTTCATTCAAAAAAATTACAATTCAAGCTTTTTCTAGCAAATGAATGTCTATTTTGTTTGTTTTTTTCCTCCCTCAGGTCCGTAAGGCAGCTCAGCAAGGCGTTTGCTCCATTCTTCGAGGCAGTGACTTCCTCTTTACTGATGACGCTCCAAACCATCATCCTGCTGCTGTCACTACAGCCAAGTTTTGCATCAAAGAAATAGAGCAGGCAGGAGGTGAGGCATCATGGTTGTTAGTTTACTTAATTGATGGGGCAAAATGTTCTCTTTCTGGTTGAAGGATGGAATTTTATATCTAGTAATTAGTTAAAATTAGCAAATTTTGTCCAGAAGTCAGAAAAGTGAATTAGGTAATATAAGGACCTGCATTTAAACTATATTGTTGGGATTTTACACTGTAAACCAACCCAATGTGTTCATAATTGTAATGCAGACTGCAAACAAGTCAAATATAAAGCTGTGGAGAAATTTAAAGATGGTTTAGGCGATAAAAGAACAAACTGTATGCAAATGTACGGCACATTTTAGACCCTAAAAATGTTATTATGTTGTAGTCGTTTTTTTAAACCCATTGTGGATTAATGTGACAAAATGCTAACTAGTTCAACTGGTATGAATATTTATGCAAGGGTCTCAGCTGGCTATACTTGTTATATTGGAATAAGTTTCTAAATAGCTGCAGAAAATGTTTGGAAGTCTTTGTCCGGTCCAAATGTTTGCTTTTTGAAAGTGGTGGTTATCCAAAGAGAGAACATCCTCTCAAGCAATTATATTAAAATGTCAGCCATGAATCAATCTTTGGCACCTCGTCAGGCAGCAAAGAGGACACCACCACCCTCCACGTGCTCTGCCTCCTGAAGGAGCTGATGGGATCGTTTCCTCTCGGAGCCGTTAAGTCCTGCTGTGAAACTCTGCTGCGTGTCATGACTCTGAGCCATGTGGTGAGTTCCCTCAGCTGCAGCTACTTTGGTGGTTCTTTGGAATTTTCTTTTTAAAGCAATGCTTCTTCTGTTTGCCTCGGCTTTAAGATGGTAACAGCCAGTGCCATGCAGGCATTTCATCGGCTCTTCATTGCAAAGCCGAATGCGTCATCCCTCTCTGCAGAACTCAATGCCCAGATCATCACGGTGAGACAAAAACAATGTGCCCCATTACTCGTGGCGTGAAATCTGCTAAAGACTCACTCTGAGTTGTCTTCCTCAGGCTCTCTATGACTACCTTCCCAGTGAGAATGACCTGCAGCCTCTGCTAGCCTGGATTACCGTCATGGAGAAAGCACATGTTCACCTGGCAAGGTATAGTTGGTCAAGATTGGAGAGAGATTGAAAGGACTTTTCTCAGGTGTCACTGACCTTCTGTGTGTATTTTGGTCCAGTTTGCAGAGTTCTCTGAGTTTAGGTCACCTCCCTCGGCTGTTCTCTGCCACCATGTCCTGCCTGCTGTCGCCCCACACACAGGTGGTCTCTGCTGCCACCAACACACTTAAGGTAATAGGCACTGAAACTGGCACCAATTAAACTTTTTGGCGTGTACATAAGTGGTTATGTATGATGTCTTTATATCTCAGAGTTTGTTGACCGAGTGTGTTGCTCCTCACATGGAGGAAATGGGGATGATCACTGCCACTGCCTCTGCAGGGAACCCCTCATATGTCTGTAAAATGTTTCGGTAAGATCGCAGATATTTTATTTCTTTTTTTATTGTTTTTTCATAAGTCACTACACAACTACTAACTGTCTGTACTTGGATTTTTCCAGCATTGTGGAGGAAGGATTATCCTATCGCTTTCATGCCTCGTGGCCCTTTGTGCTGCAGATCCTTGGCTGCTTTTACAGAGTTGCAGGAAAACAAGCTCACCCTATCATGACTAAGGTATAGCCTTGACATGTTGAAACCCTTAAGTGGATAAAGAATAAAATGAAGTGGACTGACACTTCTTCCCTTGTCCTGGGCAGTCCCTGCAGTCCCTGTCAGATCTGCGGTCCATCCCTCAGTTCTCCTTCAGCGGGGAGTTGGACCTGGCTGTGGGAGGCGCTGTGGAAAGCATGGGGCCTGAAGTGGTGCTGGCCGCTGTGCCTCTCAACATCACTGGCTACAAGTACGACTCCAAAACGACAGGGTGTTCTGCTGGCTTTACTGTCATTTTATTAACTTTTGGTTGTGTTTTTTTTTTTTTTTTGTTTTTGTTTTTTTAGTGATGACTTGGAGTTCCCTCGCAGCTGGTTGGTTCCAGTCATCCGAGATCACGTGAAAAACACTCGCCTTGGTTTCTTTGCTTCTTATTTTCTCCCTTTGGCCACTACACTCAAGCAAAGAGGTGAGTTAAATGTTTATTGAGATAAAACCTTTAACTAGATTTAGCATCTTCTATTAATGATCAGTACTATTAGCATTGCTAGTAATCATTTTCCAGATCTATTCCCTACAGAATGTAAATCCTGACCTTAGCTTTGAAGTTTCCAAAAGGTTATTAAAATTTCCAAAATTAGCTATTATCGGAATAAGGCCAGACGTCCTGTTATCTGTTGAAAGTCTCTGTTTCTCATGCGCTAGCAGCTTGAACGAATGTGGACTAAGAAGTAAAATTGTCTGTTTTTACATGCTTTAACTGACTAATCCTGTTTTGTAGCTGAAGAGTTGGAGCAAGAAGGAAAGAAGCTGGAAGCAAAAGTCTACCAGACATTACAGCTTCAGGTAAAAAACAAACTTGTCTTGTTGCTTTAACTTTTCACTTACTTTTGTCTGGTGTTATAGGTGTTGAATTTTGGAGTTACTTATTTAATGTTTATTGCATCTGTTTCAAGGGGTTAAAAGAAATCTACATTTAGGAAAAAACAACTGTTATCAACAGGCCCTCTAGCCCATTACTCTGACTATATCAATTATGATTAGCCTTCATTTTCTGCTCTCTTTGCATTTGCTTCTAATATTATCAAAGAGGATTTAGTTACAGTGGATAGAAATAGCAAGAAAAAGAACTCCAACAGAGTGGGGTAGGAAGAACAAACAAGAAAAAAAATTATTGATCCAGAATTACTTACTCCTGAGGTTAACAAAACATCAGGAGTAAGGTTGTATTGTCAAGCTATTGTTTAGCTTGACAATAGAATGACAAGCTAAACACAATCTCTAGACCATGAGTTTGTTCTATAGTAAAAAAAAAAAACAAGACTGAGAAAGCTAAAGGCATAGATAGGTGATCCTTCTAACCCTGGATGCACCAGGCCAGGTGTGCTTTCTATGGTTAAAACAAACAAGATTGTGTGAGCAAACAATGCTGATCCACATTCCGCATTTCAGATTTGGACCATGCTTCCTGGCTTCTGCACATGCCCAGTGGACCTGACTGCGTCCTTCAAGGGCGTCGCCCGGACGCTCGGCATGGCCATTAACGAACGGCCAGACCTGCGCCTCACCGTGTGCCAAGCTCTACGTACGCTGATCAACAAGAGCTGCTCCACAGGTGACAAATGTTCACAGAGGTCGTCTCTTTGTGCAAACTGTCGCATCGTTGCAGTATTATAATCATTCCTGTATGCGATCATGTTGAAGCGGAAGAAAAGGCAGAATTGGGACGGTTCTCCAAAAACTTCCTGCCCATCCTTTTCAACCTGTACAGCCAGCAGCCTGCAGACGGGGACTCTGGTGCTTATAGGATGGCTGTGCTCGACACCATCAAAGTCTACTTAACTGTCACTGATGTGCAGGTAACATTTAAATGCTTTTGTTGTACTGAAGAGTGATAAAATGATCTGTTTATGCAATTTAACTTTGATCATCTGCAGCTGATCTGCACATTGCTGCAAAAAGCCTCTGACCGGCTGACCAGCACGGAGAGCGTTGAGTTCACACGGTAGGACATCCAACTGGGATCCACTGGGTTTGATTTCCATCAGAAAATGATTCAAATATTTTAATAATCTGTTTGGTGATCCTATTCCTGTCCGATCTAATTCTCAGGCTTGCAGTGATGGACCTTGTGGTTGCCATGGCTCCCTTCGTTGATGAAAGCTCTATGGTCAAAACGTTTGAGCTCATAAGACCATATATGGAGGTATGTTTAATGATGCATCAAAATAAATTAAAATGTAACTGAAAAGTTACTTGAATCAAAAAGTGAAACTCTGACTCTGCCTTATATCGAATAAAAACCCAAAATTCAGTTTCCCTGAAAATTTGAAACTAATTAGACCAATAAAAAAGTATTTGTAATACAGAAATGTTGACCTGCTGAAATGTACTTTTATTAGGTGGCCGTTTAGAGCTCTTTTTGCATGAATGCAGAGGAGTTTGGAGCCTGAATGAATGAAGCCCAGGTTCCCTTTATAGAGTCCTGCAGCTCGTCTGCAATGTTGGCTCTGGTACGTCCCATCATTCTCTTGACAACCCACTGTGGATTGTTTATGGGCTTTAGGTCAGATGAGGTTGCTGGTCAGTCAGCCACATTAATCACGTCCAAAAGAGTAAGCAATGTTGCTTTTGGCAGTGCGTCCAGGAGTCGAATCCTGCATGAGAATCAGATCAGCTGCTTCACAAACCTTGCCAACACAGGGAGGCATGAAGTGCTGTCAAGTTTCCAAGAAGACAGCTGTGCTGATTTTGAACTTTATAAAGCACAGGGGGCCAAAAGCAGCAGATGCCATGGCTCCCTAATAACACTGACTGGAAACTTGGTAGTGGTCTCCACTCATCCAGAATCACAGATTTTAATTTCCAAGTGGAACAAACTTTCTTTATCTGAAGCCGTTGTAGCCTAAGTCCTGGTTATATCCATTGGGTGCCTTTTTTCCCCCACTAATAATGTACTTCAATACAGCACTTTGGAAGTGACTGACTTCTTTGAGTAAACCTACTTGTGAAGAGAGTCAGACTGTTTGTTGAACAACTATCAAGTTAGCGGTCTTTCCCATGACTGTGGAGGATGTACCGTTTCTGTTTTTAACTAGTTTTAGTTGGTCCTAAAAAATTATATTTGAATTTTCTCAAAAATACATTTTTGTCTTTTTAGTTATTCTGAGCCAAAAGTGACACATTTAACAAAAATGTGTCGCTCTGTGTAATGAATTTATCAGCAAGATTTTTAACTTTTTAAAAACCAGTTTTCACTGTCCTAGAGAAATGTTGGTGCCTTTGCAGTTTGTTAATTCAGGCCCTTTTTAGAAGGTTTCTTATTTCTTTATTGCGTTTGTGTTCAGGCCAAAGAGCCGGGCATGCAGAAGAAGGCGTACCGCGTGTTGGAGGAGATGTGCGGAGCAGAGAGAGATGAGTGTAAATCCTTTGTCCTGTCCAACCTGGAAACTCTGAAAACTGTCCTACTTGACACTCTTAAAAATGCTTCTTCACCTGCAAAGAGGGTAAAATCTTTCTATATGTAGAAAAACATCCTGCATGCCTGACTGTTGTGATTTATTCCTACCTGACTGCTTTGTTTTCACTTTTCTCAGCCGAGACTCAAGTGTCTGATCCATATCGTGAAAAGGTTGAATGAGGAGCACAAAGGATTCATCACTGCGCTGCTGCCAGAGGTGCAAATCAGAGCTGATGACAACAAACACAGACAGAGCTGATGTATTTGGTGTTTATAAGGTTTTCTTCTCTGCAGGTGATCATCTGTACCAAGGAGGTTTCTGTTGGAGCTCGTAAGAACGCCTACAGTCTTCTGGTGGAAATAGGAAATGCTTTCGTTCGCTTCTGTGGGAACAAAAAAGGTGTTGCATTGTTTCTGAATATATGTAGGTTTGTAACATCGGAATTTATAAAACAGCTAACATCACCTGCCTCAATTATAGATGCGATGGAGGAGTATTTGGGTCTGGTGTATGCAGGACTCACCGGATCCGTCACCATGATCACATGCACCATTTTGGCATTGACTCGTCTTGTGTTTGAATACAAAGGTGGGTTTCACTTGTATGTTTTCACCTGGACTTAAGAAAAGAATGACATCTGTGACTCAGTTTTACTTTTTACATTTCTCTTTCAGACTCGATAGAGGTTTCCACCATGGAGCAGCTGCTGCAGAACGTCTGTCTGCTGCTGTCGTCTCGAACCAGGGAGGTCGTCAAAGCGGCTTTGGGCTTCATCAAAGTCATCCTTTTCATTATGGACCCCAAAGCTTTGGGCTCACATGTTACCCTTATGGTACGAACTGTACATTACAAGTGATAATGGAGCTCAAAGGAGCTCTCCATGACCACCAAAACAGAAATATTCTGTTTTGGATAATTTTCTTAATCTCAACAAATTATTGAAATAGGTTTTTTTTTGTCTTTTTTTTTGCACTAAAACAAACAGAATGTACTTTCCAACTCATATTTAACTTGATTTAAGGTAACACTTTCTGAATAATGACTAAAGTTATGGGTCTGTCTGCTGGTTAAAACACCTGAATCCTCTTTTTTTTTTAAAGTAAAAATTTGTAAATATTTTCAACTCTCTTAATTCTGATCGAAATAGATGACCTGCTAAGTTTCCATCACACTTACATAGTTTAAAAGTCACATGTATACTGCACACATAGGACATTTTGTCCAAATAGTTGCCCTTTGATGATCAATGAAATAGTAGATTAAAAGTTTAGTGCGTAAGCACATTAAGTGGTGAGAATATACTGTGATAAAATATTTTTTGTTCTCCCTCTGTTCAGATTGAGGGAGTTGGAAACATCAAGGATGATGTAAGAAGGCATTTCAGAACCAAACTCAAGAACATCTTCACTAAATTTATCCGAAAGTTTGGGTGAGTCTTCTTCCTACCTCTGTTATCTGTTAGCGTCACACTTTCCTTCTCCTGAAAGCTCTGTTGTGGGTTTCCAGCTTTGAGCTGGTGAAGAGCATGCTGCCTGCAGAGCACCACAAGGTGCTGACAAACATCCGCAAAGCCGAGGCCCGAAACAAGAGGCGGAAACAGGTCGCAGAGGAGCAGGACGCATCGTCAGAGAGCGAAGAGGAGGCGCCTAAAGGAAAAAGCGAAAGGTACGACAACAGCTCCCCACACAAAACTCACTTCAGTGTATATGTTTACCACATTCCTTGTTTTCTTTCTAGTATTGAAGACATCCTGGCTGAGTCCGACAGTGATTTGTCTGAGGATGAAGGAAAGTCTCGTAACACCCAGAAGAAATCAAGCAAACAGAAAGGGAAAGCGTGGCTGAAGGAGGGAGAGGGAGATGATCCTTTGAACTTCTTGGATCCAAAGGTTTCACAGAGAGTTCTAGGTACCACAACATTTTGAGGCTTCTTGCTTCAATCAGAGAACAATTATGAGGCTCACAGGAGTTAAAATGACATTTTGTTTGCTGTTTGTTAGCCACAAATCCACAGCTGAAGAAGACCACCAAGATCGAACACGGTTTCAAGGTGACGTCCGATGGCCGGCTCATCATCAGAGAGGATGACGAGAACGATGGGAAAAACAAAGGTTAGAGGAGTTTGGTGGTGTTGTTGCAAGAGCTTCATGTGTGAACACACTGACGGCGGTGCTTCTCTTCACAGGTGCAGAAGAGATGGATGACATCCTGGAGGCAGCAGGAGTGAAATCCGTGAGTTTTACAAAGCACAGTGTTAATGTTTGGGAACATTTTGCTGTTTTGCTCACAGTCTGCTTTTTTATTTTTTGCACTTGCAGAAAAAATCCCAGAAGAGAAAGTTTCAAGATGACAATTTAGACGAGGACATGGATGTTGAACCTCAAATGAAATATAAAGGTAACTAAAGAAGATATTCCTCTTGATTACTTGGAGATGAAGTGACACTCTTTATCCTTTTTCTCATTTTGTTATGTTGTAACTAGAAACATCAGTGGTGTTTCATTGAAATTTTAGTGTTGATTATTTGTGAAATGAAAAGATTTTATATGTTTTTAATGTACTTGCATGCATTCAAGGCCCTGGCTCAGCACTTTAGTTCAGTGTGCTGATAGAGATGTAAGTCTTCTGAGTTAAAATCTTTCTCAGCCTCTCATCCACTTTTCTTTCACAAAGTGGCTCAAGAGTGGATGGAGTGGATCTGTGAACATCAAGTTTGGAACATCAGATTACAAATTTGCTTTTATTCTCTTATTTGATTATGCCATTCTGAAAAAATGAATGCTCTTTGATGTAAACCACTCCTTTTAGCTCTGATTGTATATCCCGAGTTGTTCTGGTGGAAGGCGAACCTCTGCCTCAATCTCCATCTTGTGCAGATTTTCCAAAAGGATTTCTCCCTGACCATCCTCCTTTTCCCTGGTGAAGAAAAGCATTCCTACATCAGACTGCTGCCACAACCATGCTTCATGGTGTGGGTGGTTTGCACAAACTGACTTGCATTGTTAATGTTTGACCACACAAAGTGTTTTGTACATTGGCCAAAAGACTCTTCTTTGATGTGTCCTGTACACAGCTTGTGGGAAACTGCAGACAGCAATTTCTAACTTCAATCTAGCTGAATAAAACCCATTCAGAATCACAAAAGTTAGCCGATCTTTTTGAAGAAAGAACAATTTGTTATTTTTAACTTGTGTACTTTAGAAAATGTCGCTTTTTAAAACACAACCATTTTTCCTATATTTGAAAAACACAAAACTTTTGCAAGAAAAGAGGATGTAGAAATGGGGTGTAGAAAAGTGATGGTGGGAAAAAGAGTCTCTTTCCATAGGGTGCAGACTCACATAAAATCCAGTTAAAGTACATAAAGGTTTGCAGTTGTGTTGTGGCAAGGTTCAAATAGATGCAAACATTTGTACATAGCACTGTGTGATGATGATGCTTTTCTCACAGCCGGCGGCTCGGGTATCCACAGACCTCTGGGGCGAAGTCAAGTTGGATCCGATTATAAATCAAAGGTAAACAAGCACAACAATCTGCAACTGAAGTGAAGTTTCTTGGGTCTACGTGGTCATTCTGAGCGTGTTTTTCTAACTGACAGAAAGGAAAAGGAGATGTGAAGAAAAGAGGAAAGCTGGATCCTTACGCTTACATCCCTCTGAAGAAGGACCAGCTCAATCGCAGGTATGAGCATCAGCTCATGCCGCCACACTGATTTGTAGGCTTAGACTTGAGCCTAAAGTTTTGCTTTACCCCTACAGGAAGCGAGCCAAACTGCACGGTCAGTTCAAAGGTATGGTGAGAGGTGTCCAGAAGGGGGCGCAGTCTGGAAAGAAAATGCAGAAGAAAAAAAGGAAAGCTTGAAGAACATGACTTACATTGTTTATTGGACTGCTTTTGTAATGTGTGTGTCAAAGTGAGAGCACCCCTGGATATGTGTGTGTGTGTTTCAAAGATACTCTGAAACTTTATCAGTTTACATCATTCAGTGGGATGGAAATGAGAATTTCTTGCTGATTATGCTCCCCTTGCCTTGTTGTTACTCAAGTGGAAGGAAGAAGAAAATCGTAGCTGTTCTCATTTCAACATGCCCCAAATTGATTGCATTTATACAGACACAACAGTTTTGTTTTAATTTCCACATTTGACCACATAACATTGCTGCAGTCTTGTGTACTGTAAATTGTGATAAAGCATTCACTGATGCCATATGGCTCCTTCAAGTATATTATTAAAGTGAATTATGGAGTGCAAAGTGAACTTGCTCTTCTGTTTTGACTCATAAACCTGAAATAAATTCCAACTTGAACTGGGAAGTTGTTGCATTTTGCAGCTCAGCTTCGAAACTTAGGTTGTTTTTGTGACATACCGTAGTGGTGATGCGATTCATTTTCCCTGATAGGATGAAGTAATGCGAGTCATGTAATGACAGGCTGACCTTCGAGTCACTCTTCTGTTTCAGTATGCCAGCATTTCTTAGAAAAACAGCAGGTACCTGAAGTACAAAGCAGGATTTGGGACAAAGATTAAGATTTCAAGATTTCACCCTGGATTTCTATTGTTTTATATGTGGTTCAGTTATATATAAATAGGTATATTCTTATATATATCTATTTATATATATGACATATCTATAAAAATATAGATATATGTATATCTATATATATAGAACTTCTCTGCTTTTTTGTTTGACTTTAGTAAAAAATAAGATAAAGTTCATAGAAATGGTCTTCAATCCATAAATAAGAGTAATGTTTGTGGATTAAAAGTTGTTTTATTTTTATTTTTTAAATGATTGTCACATTTAATTGTGGATTTAAAACTATTAAACCGAATAGGGTTGTTCTTGTTATTGATATCCAAAGAAAATTAGACTGAGCAGAAGGGCTGTTACAAAAGAATATTTTAGTAATCAAGTACTCTATAGAATATTTTTACGATTATCCGAGAATCGGACCTTTGTCTCTCTGCCAACCTGGATGTACTCTAAATCAAAAACCAGTTGATTAATATTATTTATTCAGATTTATACACAATCATATTCTGAAATTAAAAGGGTTTCTATTTCTCTACAGAATGCTTTATGTATTTACATATGTTTATTTATATGTATTTGCAATAAGACTGAAACTGCTGGAGTCCTAAAATGGTCAAAAAAGTCTCACTAAATAATGCTTTTAATATTGTGTAACTTCATAAAAGGTGCCACATAGTATGTTGTTCAAAAAGGGGGCTAAACTATCCCTTTCTATTATTATATAACTTTAGGAATATGAGCACTGAACTTTTATTACTGCAGAAATATATTTCCTGGCAAAGACTTAAAAGTTGCTTCATAAACTCTCCAGATTAATGGATGTAGTTATTTTTTATAGCTTTGAACATACATTTTTTGTGAAGTTAGCCCTGACATTTTGTAATTTGCTTAATTAATCTGATGTAGTTTTAAGGCATTACATCAAGTATTAACAAAATCCAATCAGCTAATAACCATGTAATAAAATCTGTTGACCTGTGTGTTACACCATCACGAAAAAGACTCATCTTTAAACATGTAAATCAAAAACTGAGAGGCAGCGCATTAAAAAAAGAAATGTCTTTATTGAAATCAGATGTGTTAATATTGAAGAAACAATGCAAATGATCATTTCAGTCAGTAAATGCAGTATACAAAGAGCCCTGAAGATACACGTTTTCAGTACAATCTTTTACTTGAATTTGTTCAAAATGATCTCAAGCACATCAGATGCCACGCCACAAAGCTCGCTAATATCAGCCATGGTGCTCCCCACCCTACAATGACTTCAAAACCTAAAAGATGCTAAAGAAAAGAGGGCCTGTATTACAATAAATAACATACTGAGAAACTGCCCTGCAGTTGCAATAAGACTGGTGAACATTAAAACTACATTTTAAGTAAACTGCAGTAAAGCTTTCTTTGGTTGAAAAGGTATAAAAAATGTGTAAATTGTTAATTAAAAAGCCAACATAAATGACCCTGCTACCACCCTTTTTGTTTACTACATGACGTATTTAATACCACCCTCTCCTTATGGATTAATGTTGTGCTGCATTTATATGTAAAAACATTTCTGTTTACTTTCATAAGCCATCTGTCCCTAGCTCACTTTCAGCATCACTAAAGTTTGATAAACACTTACAAGCACCACCTACTCTACTAGCAACTACTGTTACTGTACAAACAGTCCCAGTTGAATCCATGGTCTTGCTTTTGTTTTGTATCTTTTATAAAGGTTTTGACATAAGATTGATAAATTCTGCTGTCCAGCAACAAGACACAGCGCTCAAAAACATATCTGTGCTTCTGGCCTGGAAGATTTTTCACGATGACATTCGATTTTCTAAGAAATCAGTTTAGATATGAGAGTGACTTGCAAAAGTATGACCTGCCTATGAACTTCTAACATTTTGTCATGTTACAACAACAAATTTTATTACATTTCATATGCATTCTAGAAGTATTGCACAGCTGTGAAGTAGCAAATCCGAAATATCTGACGTGAATTCAGTTCTCTTCACTCTGATCCCCCAAAATGAAATCTAGAAATGTTAGCAGTTTGCCACCAGGTGGAAGAAGGTGCTCTGGCCAGCTGAAACCAAAGTTGACCTCATGTAACCCCGATGTGCAACAACAACACTGCACATAATCTATATGACAAGATTAACTGAGCAAAATAAAGAGCAATACTGTTTGAAAATCTATTTGAAACAGCAAAATATTTAAGAGTGGGGCTGTGTACTCTCTGTCCCATGGACACCTTAAACACATTTTCACTGCTGTGGCAGCATTATGATGAGGATCAGCTTCCAGGAGGAAAACTGAATGTTAACAGCTGCTCTATTGTCTGTCCTGCTTGAGAGATGAGTGGATAATTATTTGGATGATAGAAGAGAAATAACTCAAATAGACTTGCAGCTGTAACTGCAGAAGAACATCTTCTTCCTTTTTCTTTTCAGCTTCACAATTATGCATTCCCAATGCAATCCATTTACGGTAATTCTCTAGTTGTAACATGACAAGATGAAAAAAGTTCAAGTGTTAAAAATACTTCTGTAAAGCTCTGTATTTGCATCCATTCTCTTCGTCATTACAGCCTTGGCGGAGGCCGGGACGGTGGGGGTCCGAGGGGCCCAGGCGGAGCACGGGCTGGGGGTGGGCCGGGCGGGAGTCGTGTCACAGGAGGGGGCGCACGGGATGGAGGCGCCGTGAGCGAGGATGGAGCAGTGCGCGGCCCTCTTGAAGGAGGTTTCGTACGGGGGACGGAGTTGGAGACTAAAGGTTGTTCCTCAACTGGGGGAGGAGGAGGAGGAGCAGGAGAGTGAGGCATTCGGGGAGGAACCGGACGATCATCATCTCTGACCCGTTGAAAGCGGATACAACGACCCTGCAGAGCAAGGAGACAAGGTTTAATCACAACTGCTTTTATGCAGAATAATTAATAAAATAGTGGCTCTCTAGAGTGCACTCTTGATAAATACCAGGCTTATAAAATGAGACCAATTAAACCAAAGTTTTTTCACATCTCAAGTATTTATTCTAATTAAATTAACTAATACACAAACAAATTGCTTAAAAGTGGAAGAGGGAATATAAAAAAGAAAAAAAAACATGGAATAATAAATACTTAGTTTCACCATTTTACGATTATATTCATTCTAATCAAGATACAGATTATATGTCCTAATTAGGAAAAAAAAAGTTTTTCATACATGCTACAAAGAACCAGGGGGATTTAGTCTACAGGTATCAGTCAGAAGAAGGGCAGAAATCATTTATCTATATTCCACACCACAATAAAGACAGTAATAAACAATTAGAGTAAATGTGGGAAAACAGGAACAGTCAAAACTTCATGAAAGATCACTAAAAAGGCAAAGAGACTGAACAAACCTCCAACAAGGATGTGCTTTGTTTTCAATGTGACAAAAATCTCCTGTATAATAAGGAGCAGAGTTGAGAGAAAGAAACCTTTTCTCAGAGAAAACATGCAGTCCTGACTGCAGTGGAGTTTTGTATTCTCGTCTAAAGAGCCTTACTAAAACAAAATTTTGTCCTTGGTTGAAACTTGGCGTTGGAAACAATTACTTTTCTGTTTTGTAGTCAAGAGACTCTGGGCTCACGTTCTGAAAACGAAGCCAAGTGGTGCAGAACTAGAGATTCATTTCAAAGTGCTGCTATATTTCATGCAACCGCTAGGTGTCGCCTGAGTTTATATGTGTCTCAAATCTCGAAGACAAAGTGATGGGGCTTCATCGGCAAACTGCTACTTTTCTGGACTGTTATTTATTTATTTATTTATTTATTTATTTAAAGATAGATTAAAATATGGTGTTTTAATACAAACTCTCCAGGTGTCAGGAAATTAGCTGGTCAGTATTAGTTTCAGGGTGTGTACAATCATTCAGCTCTGCTTTTTATTTCCCGCCTCACAGATGTATTATTTTTCAATTCAATTGTAAAGGTTAAGGGTCACATTAAAAAAATTAAATAAATTATTATGGTCTAATTTTTTTTCTTACATCACAAAGCCCTGGCTTTTTAGCTGGGGATGTGAACATTTTTCAGAAACAGGGGGAATTAATTCCTTGTATAAACTTAGTGAATCCTTTTTTAGATTCAACATGCAGAATGGTTTCTGTTAGGCTTTGCCCAGCGTTGCAGATAGATACAGGAGTGTCTGATTTCTGATGTCTCAGGGAGCGCACAGAGAAGCTTCTGTTTTCCGTTCACACCTGCACCACAATACTGCGATGCCGGCTCTGACAAAGTCCTTTAGTCTTCAGCGTTCCCTTCTTTCTTTCAGGACAAACCTCCACTGTGATTTGGACTCTTAAGATACCAAACAGAGAGCATGTTATGTCCCTTATGTGCTTGATTTGAAGCCATATAAAGAGAGGGATTTATATTTCTTCATAACAGTGTTTAACATAATTTACAAGTCTTGGAGAAAGGGATGAGTCTCTGATTGTCCCCATTGATGGGTTTTTATCTCTCCTCGCTCAGTTGCTGAGTGAAAGATGGAGGGTGGAGTCTCTGAGTGGCAGACCCTTGGTGGTCTGATTTTAACACCTTATTAAGCAGAGAGGCCCTAAAGTCACACAGGGGCCATTAAGAGGACCAGGCAGCAGAAGCTTTGTGACTGAAGGGGGCCATTGTGGGTTCAAGCGTGTATAATATACGAGGGGTGGGTAATTGATTGAGGGCAGCTTGGTTGGGAGTGCCGGGGTGGATGGAGAGC